GGGGGGGGGGCCTTGCAGAGGATCGTTTGTAAAATGAACAGTTCTGATGCGGATTCCTTTTTTCATGTATTAAATTGCGTGACTGTCTGTCCTGATGGTTTCTTCATATATTTCAACCGTGTCATCATTTGACCTTTTAACTATTTCATCTTGTAACCATGTCACAATTTCACCATTCCATGATTTTCCTCTCCCGTCCAGGCATCTGGGACAACAGCCTCGCTACCACCCGCTCCGTCACGGTTTTGACGAGTGGTTTGGCTCCACCAACTGTCACTTCGGTCCGTTCAACAACAAAAACACACCCAACATTCCCGTGTTCAAAGACGCAGACATGGTTGGAAGGTAGGAATGTCTTTCCATAAAATCCACACAGGAATGAATGTGTTTTTAAATGGACATAAATTAAATAAAAGTTGCCAAATGAACGTAAAATGTCGGTTTCTTCGATTCAGTTATTTTGAGGAGCACCTGATTTCACCACAATGCCACACAATTATGGAGAAACGTTTTGATGTTCATTTGAGTAGTGCTGGACTGGCATCTGTGGTGTAGTGGTTCAGGCGCTTGGCTGTACACGGTTTACAGGAGACCCTGAGTTCGATTCCCGAATGGGGAGGAAATTTTTATCGAGTATCTCGGTCTTTTTGCTTTAATGTTGTATCCTTCTCAGCCCAGGCTAGGTGAGAAGCCTAAGTGATCTGTAATTGTGTCGTCGGAGTTGTTAAAACTCCTAAGATAAAAATGTCCATTTTTGTTTGAGATCAGAGATTATAAAAACTTATTGTGTTGGTTTTTTTTTAGAAAATATACCTAAAGATCTTTTTACTGTTTTTATTTCCTATTAAACATCAGTCATTCTTATCAATCCTCATTCTTTTTTTGTGTTTGTTACTCTCTTGTAACACCTCTAATCTCTGGCACTTATCTGTCTTTATTGTGTTGTAAAACTCTTACTAAATCATAAACCATCGTTTTTCATTGACAGGTATTACGAAGATTTCCCCATCAACAGACAAACGGGAGAGGCCAACATCACTCAGATCTTTATCAATGTAAGAAAACGTTTTTTAAATCGTTTTGTACCTCTTTACAGTGTACTTTTTCATCCGTGACAGACCAAGTCATTTTTGACCTTGCAAAGCTGACCCCTGGAAATGTTATCATCAAATTTATAATTGTGACACCTTTATGAATGAAATGCGCTTTGAGAACTTTTTAGAAAATGGAACTGCGCAGCATCACTTTGTTATGATTATTAATATTTGTATTATTATTGTTAGTGTTATTATTATTATTGTTAGTGTTATTATTATTATTGTTTTTATATTATTATTATTACTATTATTATTATTATTATTATTATTACTATTATTAATATCCTCCAAATGTCGGGGGCCAAATTAAACAGCAGTAAATCTGTCACTTAAAGTACTTGAAGAAGTCCACGTGGGCCGCTCGCTGATAAAAATATCTAGAAATGGAAAAATTCAGTTACTGCACAAGTAAACCTTAAATCTACATTTTTTTCAGTAAAATTTACACATAAATGTGTTATTGAATGAACGTTAAAGGTGTTGAGCCAAAATACAAAAATTCTATAACATTTTCCAAACGGGCAGAAAAAGGCATGCAGGTATTTTCGGTTTCATTATTTTGGTTACCACCCAGATTCCACCACGTTGCGACTCATTTACGAAGAAGAGTCTTTGCTTTGCCATTTTTTCACAGGAAGCGACGAGTTTTATTGAGAAGCAGGCTGCCGCAGGCCAACCATTCTTCCTGTACTGGGCGGTGGATGCCACACACGGGCCCGTCTACGCCTCGCCTGATTTTCTCGGTACCTCACGTCGTGGTCTGTAAGTTGAGGACTTTGTTGATGTGTTAAGGCCTGTTTTGTGGGTATGTGAGTGTGTGTGTGTGTGTGTTTGTGTATGTGTGTGAGTGTGTGTGTCTGTGTGTGTGTGTGAGAGAGTGTGTGTGTGTGTGTTTGTATGTGTGTTTGTGTGTACCTTTATGTACTGACTGCTTTGTGTGGTATGTGTGTGCGTATATGTGTGTGTGTGTATGTGTGTGTGTGTACACTGTTATGAACTGACCGCTTTGTGTGGTATGTGTGTGTGTATATGTGTATATGTGTGTGTGTGTGTGTTTTTGTCATATACAGACTTTGGTCTTTTTCCACACTTATGGTCCTCGGCTCATTCTGACGTTGTGGTCTTGGGAAGGGCATCATCATCATCATCATCATCATCATCATCATTGCCTTTCTCACCCTGGGTCAGGATATAGGCCACAAACAAACACTCTCCACCTTTCCCTATCATGGGCTAGTCGCTTGATATCACTCCACGTCTTCCCACTTTTCTGTACATCCATTTCTGTGATTCTTCTCCTGGTTCCACCTGGGCACTTTACACGAATTTCCCATTTGGCTCTGTCCTTTCGGGGACGGACCTAACCTTAGAGGTCCTGTCTCTTAAATAACCTGATATTGTCGATAGGGACATTAAACGTGGGTGGTTGGCGGGTGCTCTGGTGTGGTTTGCTTCTTCTTTCCTATCGAACATCTATCGTCCTTATCTCCCCTTCTTCTTTTTTATGTTTGTTACTCTCTTGTAACACCTCTAATCTTCTGGCGCTCATATGACCTTATGCAGTTGCGAGCGCCGTAAAACCTCAACTAAAAAAAAAAAAAAAGGACATTAAACCTATACCATTTTCACCATTTTTCACTGTTATGGCGATGCAGTAAGAGAGCTGGACTCCGAAGTGGGCTATGTGTGTACTCAGTTATATCTTCACATGTCATCCACATCCACAGCTACGGCGATGCAGTGAGAGAGCTGGACTCGGGAGTGGGACGTATCCTGTGTGTGTGTGTGTGTGAGTGTGTGTGTGTGTGTGTGTGTGTGTGTGTGTGTGTGTGTGTTTGTGTGTGCACATGTATTAGGGTGTATGTACTCAGTTATATCTTCACACGTCATCCACATCCACAGCTACGGCGACGCAGTAAGAGAGCTGGACTCGGGAGTGGGCCGTATCCTGCAGCTGTTAGAGAAACTTCAGGTGGACAACAACACCTTTGTGTTCTTCTCTTCTGACAATGGAGCCGCTACCTACGACAAGGCGAAAGGTGACTCTGTCTGCTGCCCTTCTACGGTTTTGGGATTTTTTTGGGGGGGGGGGGGTTGGGGTTTTTTTTTGTTTCGTTTATTAATTTTTTTCAGAGGAGATTACTTCATTTTCTGAATTATCCAATTGTTTAGCATGTTTACTTTTGTGGGTGGTTGGCGGATACTCTGGTATGGTTTGGTCCTTCTTTCCTATCAAACATCTATCATCCTGATCTCTCCTCCTTCTTTTTTGTGGTTGTTACTCGTTTGTAACGCCTCCAATCTTCAGCACTTATATTATGACCTTTTTGTGCTGCAAGTGCCGTAAAACTCTAACTAAAAAAATGTTTACTTTTGCTGAAAGTGGCGGCTCAGGCAAGTAACGCTGTTTTTGAAAATTTTCTCAAAACTATTAAAGTCAAGACTACTCTAACGGCCAACTGTATAAAACAATCACCCTTTTAAAAAAAACAGCCACTTCCTATTTCCTCCCTTGCATACTTTCGAACATTATTTTTTTGCGCTGTATAAGACAGCCGCCTGTCTCAGATGGTCACTTTCCTCCTCGACAATGGGAGGACGTTGTAGACAGTTTGGATGGTATATTTATCGGCTTGATATTTTACAGTGGTCTGTGTGAGTGGTTGGAGGGTGCCACTGGTAGGTCCAACTTCTTTATTTTCCCTCTGTTGTTTCTGTCTGTCTGTTTGTCTGTTTGTCTTACTTTTTCCCGGCACTGAATGACCATTCTTAAGTCGATGTGCTTCTTGTATACTCAAACAAACAAACTGTGGTCTATGTAGGTGGTTGGAGGGTCCCACTTGTTGATGCTACTTCTTTACTTTCCCTCTGTTGTGTCTGTCTGTCTGTCTGTCTTATTTTTTTCCAAGCACAAAATGACCATTCTTGTGTCGATGTGCTTCTCTTTACTCGAACAAACTTACGCACAAACAAACAAACAAACAAACTGTGGTCTATCCGACAGGTGGCAGTAACGGTCCGTTCTTGTGTGGCAAGGAGACGACGTTCGAGGGCGGCATGAGAGAACCGGCGGTGGCGTGGTGGCCAGGTGTGGTCCAGGGGGGACAGGTAAATGACACACGTCAGGGGTTGCCTGTTTGTACTTGCTTGGGGTGCTTTGAAAGAACGTGTGCTCCTATTATTTTTTTATTGTTAAAAGATTTTGTGGTATAACTTTCTACTGTTTTTACTTTTAAAAGAATAAATTTTCCATTAAGCATAAAGTATAATCAAGCCATACTCCAACAAACGTGAAAACAATCAACTTGGGTCCTGCACACTCATATATGCAGTTACGAGGGGGGGGGGGGGTTTTACCTCTTTTGGTATGAAATAAAAAAGTGACATATCCGTCACTTGATTGGTCATTAAATCAAATGAATCCATTCTGATAGTTCTTTATATAATGAAAGAATTCCCGCTAAAGGAGACCTATTTTCAGCAATTGCCGAAAAGTCATGTAACGTTGAAGCCATTGTAAAGGAATGTGCGCAAGCGGCTGGCTGCCAGTGGCTCACCGGCACAGCAGTTCTGACCACGAGCCGCTAGTAGAGACTTGTCGGAGCTAGACAGTTAAATTCATAGGTCCTGCCTCTTGTGGCGTCGGTGGCATAGTGGTTAGGCTCTCGGACTCGCAACTGTAAGGTCGTAGGTTCGAATCCCGTCAGGGGCCCGACGTTGTGTCCTTGCGAAAGGCACCTTACATGAATTTTCCTCACTTCACCCAGGTGGGAATGGGTACCCGCCTATAGACAGCGAAAGATCTTGTCAGTTTGTTAGTGTTTGAGCGCTTAATCAGCTGCTTGCACTGTATGCTTCCCGGGAAGCTGAGAATGTTTCGGAGTGTTCTATGGTCTGCTGGGGTATAATATAGTGTAAAGCGCATGTTGAGCGTTGATATGCGCTATACAAATGCTATTTATTATTATTATTATTAACTCTTTAAGCCCTGAGTTTTTTCTACCGTTTCCCTGAGTTGTTTTTTTCATCAGTCACCTAAACCTAGTGCACTACTATAATTTGTCTCATTATACCCCCGAAAGCTTGCATCCAACTTCTAAATAGCAGAAACAAAGGCTTCGTCATTACTAAAAAAAACTTGGTTTGGGAATAGTTCCAAAAACAAGCCAAAAGTAGTACTAAATAAAACGAAACAGTTGTCACTAGTACTGGAAGCTCCCAACATCCGATGGGGAACAGGGTTATTATCGCCGAACGCTCCATGCGTTCGATGGGATTTAAAGAGTTAAATAACCTTGCAATTTTGTTAGGAGCTTCAAACCTATACAAGTGCGTAGTTGGCATAATGAGATCTTTGGGGTGCAGATATCTTTTCATAATGTACGAGTTTTAAATATAAAGAATATTCATGACAAGCAAAAAGATTTGGGACCCAGGAATCTGTTCGCTATATTGCGTGATAGATTGTAGTTTATTGTGTTGCTAAAGATTTTGAAATTATTTTTCTTGATGTCCTCAGCAAGAGCTGCTTAGTTGGCAGGTGGTCTGGTGTAGTTTGGTTCTTCTTTCCTATCAAGCGTCCGTCATCATTACCTCTCCTCCTTTTTTTTTTTGTATATTACTGTCTAGTAACACCTCTAATGTTTGTTACTTATATCTTATATGTGAGGCATCATGGTGAAATCAGGCGCTTGTCAAAAGAATAAAATCGAAGGAACCGGCAATTTTCTGCTTGTGAGGCAATTTTTATTGAATTATTGTACATGTATTTTGATTCAACCATCCATTTTACATCCATTTACAAACTAATTTCTTAGTGAATTTTACTGAAAAACGTTGATTAAAGGTACAAAAATGTAATTATCTATTCAATTAAAAATAGATGGATACTTTTTTTTGTCGAAAGCAAGAAAAATGAACAAGCTGTTAAGATGATACCAATAACTCTTACATGCCCAAAAATTGATGAGTGCCTGATTCCACCGTGTCGCGTGGCGACACATATGACCTAATTGTGTTGCAAGTGTCACAATACTTGTACTAAAACTAGAAATAAGCCTGTCTGTCCCCGTGGTTTTATGCACCCGGCATAATTTAGCAAAATCTGATCATTTTTTGATTATTTTCCTTTATCATTCTTTGTTAAAATTGACAGAATCACATAATTTCAGTGGGTGGTTGGCGCGTGCTCTGGTGTGGTTTGCTTCTTCTTTCCTATCAAACATATATCGTCCTTATCTCCTCTTCTTCTTTTTTATGTTTGTTACTCTCTTGTAACTCCTCTAATTTTCTGGCGCTCATATGACCTTATGCAGTTGCGAGCTCCGTAAAACCTCTACTAAAACTAAAACTAAACTTGGATAATTTCACATTTTTGGTCTCAGGTTGCCTAATTTCAGAATTTTTCTTGCATAAAACGACGAGGACAGGCCTGTTCAATTCGGCAATTCTTTGTTCCCCCTTTCAGGTGTCCCGGCAGACTGGGAACTTGATGGATCTGTTCTCCACGCTGCTCGACTTTGCCAACATTCCCGCCCCGAGCGACAGAACCATTGACGGCATCAGTCTACGGCCAGCTTTGTTGAGCAACAATATCACGGACAGGTCGTCATCTTTTTCTCCGTCCTTCTGTCTGTCTTTCTGTGTGTGTCTGTCTGTCTGTCTGTCTGTCTGTCTGTCTGTCTGTCTGTCTGTCTGTCTGTCTGTCTGTCTGTCTGTAATGTATTCTTGAGGTCATATCCAATTAAATGTTTTGTCTGTTATGTGTTTTTGAGGTTTCAGCAAATGAAATGTTATGTCATTGAAAGGCTTTCTTGAGGTCACTTTGTCTTTAATGTATTTTGAGGTCATATCCAATGAAATGTGTTCTGTGATGTATTTTGAGGTCATATCTAATTAAATGTTTTGTCTTTAATGTGTTTTTGAGGTCACATCATAAGACATGTTATTTCCATAACACTTTCTTGAGGTCACATCCCGACAAATGTTATGTCTGTACTACTTTCTTCTACTCCCAAGACCCATCTTTGTATAGCCCAAATGTCCACTCCACAGCAAGCTATATGCGCCTTACAATCTACATCATTACCCCAGCAGATCTGATAGCATTCTGTGGATGGTTGGCGGGTGCTCTGGTGTGGTTTGCTTCTTCTTTCCTATCAAACATCTATTGTCCTTATCTCCCCTCCTTCTTTTTTATGTTTGTTACTCTGTTGTAACACCTCTAATCTTCTGGCGCTCATATGACCTTATGCAGTTGCGAGCACCGTAAAACCGTCTACTAATACTATAACTGATGGCATTCAGAAACGATCTCAACTTACTGGGAAGTGTACAATGCAAGCTTCCATTTTGCTGGCGCTCAAACACTAACATACGTTCTTCTACTCCCCAGACCCATCTTCCTGTACCGCGGGGATCTGTTAATGGCCGCCCGCGTCGGTCAGTACAAGGCACATCTCTGGACCTGGACCAATAGTTGGACGGAATTTCAGCACGTGAGTGATGGCCACTTTAATTAATAAAGTAACGATCAAACTCTGTAATAATTATGCTGAATAGAGGGACATAAATCTTCTAAGTAGTTACCTATTGATTATCATGATTGTGTCCCCTTTAGCCTTTTGTCTGTTGTATTACTTCTGAATAAAGTTCAGTTCTGGTGTACCCTTGATTGCTGCCTCCACGTCTTCAATGAGCCGTGTGCTTGTAATAGACAATCAAAGTCAATCTATTACAGCCACAGATCATCTTGTTTGCCGCTGTTGTTGGACGTTGAATGAGCCAGTTGGCATGAAACAATTTAAATGTTGTGAGGCACGAGTTGGGTCACGAGCACGAGAATGGAACTGAATAGCCACTTTTCCCTGCGGAACGCGTTTTGCGATTCACTTCAGCCGAACGCGGAACAGCATTGCCTTCCGATTCCCGATTCACTCCCCTGTCGCTGTCACCACCTTGTGGCTTGTTTGTAACCTACTGCTGGGTCACGAGTCGAGTCACAAGCGCAAGAACGGAACGGAACACTCAGTATGGCTCCGCTTATTTTACAAAAGATGGCATAGTTCAACCCCCCTATGAAAACAAAATGAACGGGTTCCAACCAATAGACAGAAGGAATTTTAAGGAGCCTTTGTTTTAGTTTAGCTAATCATGTGGGGGGGGGGGGGGTGAATTTATGTGGGTCTCTAATTGAGGTCAGTATAGCAGCGCAACGAAGGGTGGGGGACGGAGAAGATGGCGGGACAACAAGAGTGGGACTCGCGAAGTGGCGTTGATATGATACAGTTCCCTTTCACGTATACTACGAGCCCGAGACCTAGTGTTCCACGAGCGCCCGCGTACTCGCGATTCATTGAAGAAGACTGAATCGTGAATCGCCACTCTCAGATTTGGTGAACAGAACCCAGCTCTATTAGGAAGTGGGTGCTATTTAAGTGGCCTTAATTATTGTTGTTATAATGATAATAATACATTTCTACTTTTATTATTGTCATTAATATTATTACTATTATTGTAATGTTTAATTAATGTTTTATTGTTATTGCGCACGGGTTTGGTTAAGTTGCTTGTAAATAAATGTTAATTCACCTGTACTTATTTCACAACCCAATGTTCTGTCTAGTCTCTGCATTATTATTCTTCTTATAATTATTAATATTATTATTATTATTACTATAATTGTTATTATCATCATCATTATTACTATTACTATTATTATTATTATTATTATTATTATTATTACTGTTATTATTATTATTATTATCATTCTTATTATTAACATTATCATTAACATTATTTCTCAGGGCACAGACTTTTGCCCAGGTCAGGACATCAAAGGAGTGACGACGCACAAACAGACAAACCAGACGGCCAGCCCACTCCTCTTTGACCTTGGCTCTGATCCTCAAGAGAAATATGTGATCCCGTAAGTACAATGTATTTTTCCTGTCTTTATCCAGTAAAGAAAATACATTTAATTTTCTTCTTCCTGTAAAGAAAACTTATTTCTTTATCCTGTTAAGTACTGTAAAGAACTCATTTCTTTATCCAGTAAAGAACTTATTTCTTTACCCAGTATAGAGCTTATTTCTTTATCCAAAAAGAAATAATTTCTTTATCTAGTTAAAAACTCATTTATTACTAAAGAGATCATTTCTTTATCCAGTAAAGAACTTATTTCTTTATCCAGTTAAAAAAAAATTATTTATTCTTCCAGTAAAGAAATCCTTTCTTTGTCCAGTGAACAGTACTCATAATTGCACCCAGCTAAGTGAGTTTATCTCTGGAACGGAAAATAGAACTCATTTTCCCTGTTTGAAGAAAAAAGTGGCTAGTCTTACCATCTTGACTGAAAGAACAGGAAAAGACATTGGGGTTTGTTAGTTTGTTTGGGGGGGGGGGGGGGAGTTGTAGCAGGAGAAAGCGTGAAAGAGGAAAAGCGTGGCGTAAGTGGCCTAGGGGTTAGGCTCTCGGACTCGCAACTGAAAGGTTGTGGGTTCGAATCCCATCAGGGGCCCTACGTTGTGTCCTTGGGAAAGGCACTTTACACGAATTTTCCTCACTTCACCCAGGTGGGAATGGGTACCTGGCTATAGACAACGGAAGATCTTGTCAGTTTGTTAGTGTTTGAGCGCTTAATCAGCTGCTTGCACTGTGTGCTTCCCGGGAAGCTGAGAATGTTTCGGAGTGTTCTATGGTCTGCTGGGGTAATAATTATAGTGTAAAGCGCATAGAGCCTGCTGTTGAGCGGGGATATGCGCTATACAAATGCTATTTATTATTACTATTATTATTTATTAAAAGAAATATTGTTCTTTTTTTTTTATGTGAGGAAAGGGCTCAATCTATACGTTTGACTTGTCTGTAGGGCTAAAATCTGAGAAGCAACTCATTTTGTTAGTATGCCTTCCGTATAAGTTTCCTCCCCTTGTGTTAAATGGCACATGTGTTGTTTCACCCTTCCACCCTACCCCTACCCTCTCCCCATCCCACCCTTCCCCTCTCCCCCTCCCAGCCTCTCCTCTCCCCCTCCCACCTCTCCCCTATCTCCCTCCCAGCCTCTCCCCTGCCCCTTCCCTCCGACCGCCCCCCCCCCCCCCACTACGCCCAGCATGTTAGCATGCGTGGGTGGTTGGCGGGTGCTCTGGTGTGGTTTGCTTCTTCTTTCCTTTCAAAAACATCAATCATCCTTATCTCCCTTCCTTGCTTTTTGTGTTTGTTACTCTTTTGCAACACCTCTAATCTTTGGCACTACTTATATGACCTTATTGTATTGCAAGTGCAGTAAAACTCTTACAACAAATATATTTCCTCCCCTTGTGTTAAACGGGTTGTGTGTGTGCGTGTCTTCCTGGCACAGGCCAAGTTCCCTGATCTACAAACAACAGATGCCCGCCATCTTGAAAGCTGTGAAGGAACACCTGGCCACTCTGAAGCCCGGAGACCCACAGCTCAACTGGTGTGACCCGGCTGTCATGGTATGTCACTGTGTAGTGAGACATTATGTCCGTGTGTAATCGCCAGTGACGTCAGTGTGTTGTTGGAAGAGGTAATGTCAGTCATATTTTTTTTTTATAGTAGAGGGTTTTACGGCACTCGCAACTGCATAAGGTCATATGAGCGCCAAGGGGTGGGTGTCAACAGAGAAGTCCTTACAGGGAATCAGACTTACTCTGCTCACCTCTCTAGCTTCAACAGCACAAAGTCTGCTTCGACCATCAAGGCACCCCGGAAATAGCAGGTCACAAGAGAGTGACAAACATACAAAAGAAGTAGAGGAAAATGATAATAGTAAGGATTAAGAACCGAATGGTATCATGCAGAAGAGTTAACGCTCAGATGCTACCGGATAGCTAACAACAAGGATTAGGAGAGAAAAAGCAGCAGTTCCCTGTTGCAGATCAGGCACAGTTATGGGCGTGACATGATGAATCAACCCATTTACAATTCTACTGTGCTTGAACGAGAAATATCTCCCCTTTGGGAATGGCCTAAAAACACTACAGTCAGCGGCTCTGCCCCGGGGGGGGGGGGGGGGGGGGGTGATATCAGTCAGTGTGTAGTTGGAACTGACACCAGTGTGTAGTAGAGAGTGATGATGTTAATGTGTAGTTGGAACTGATGTCAGTGTGTTGTAGGAAATGACACCAGTCTCAAGAAAAGTGAAGTGATGTCAGTGTGTTGGAAGAGATGATGTGTTCAGTTGGAAAAGAGCTGGTGAAAGTGATGTCTGTGTGTAGTAAGTTAGATGTGATGATGTCGGTGTGTAGTAAGTTAGATGTGATGATGTCTGTGTGTAGTAAGATGTGATGATGTCAGTGTGTAGTAAGTTAGTTGTGATGATGTCTGTGTGTAGGTGCTTCCCCCTCTGTTGTTTCTGTGTGTCTGTCTATCCTTTTTCCAGCACAAAATGACCATTATTGCGTCGATGTGCTTCTCTTTACTGGAACAAACGAAGCCATCGGTAGGTCCTACTTCTTTACTTTCCCCCTGTTCTTTCTGTCTGTCTGTCTGTCTGTCTGTCTGTCTGTCTGTCTGTCTGTCTGTCTGTCTGTCTGTCTGTCTGTCTTACTTTTTCCCAGCACTAAATGACCATTACGGTGTCGATGTGCTTCTCTGTACTTATATGTTGAGCTGTAAGTTTAAATTTGCCTGTGGGTGGTTGGCGGGTGCTCTGGTGTGGTTTGCTCCTTTTTTCCTACCAAATATCTATCGTCCTGATCTCTCCTGCTTCTTTTTTGTGTTTATTACTTTCTTGTAACACCTCTAATCTTCAGCACTTGCATGACCTTATTGTTTTGCAAGTGCTGTGAAACTCTTACTAAAACCAAACTTAACTTAAATTTGACGTTTTTTATTCCAGAACTGGGCACCTCCTGGCTGTGAGAAACTCGGCCGCTGTCTGCCCGTGCCGAAGTCTCAGCCCACCAAGTGTGTGTGGGTGCACTGAGGGGTACACATGTGTGTGGGGGATCGGAGTGTACTGAGCTGTACACATATGTGTGTGTGTGTGGGTGGGGTGCACTGAGGTGTACACATGTGTGTGGGGGATCGGAGTGTACTGAGCTGTACACATATGTGTGTGTGTGTGTGTGGGGTGCACTGAGGTGTACACATGTGTGTGGGGGATCGGAGTGTACTGAGCTGTACACATATGTGTGTGTGTGTGGGGTGCACTGAGGTGTACACATGTGTGTGGGGGATCGGAGTGTACTGAGCTGTACACATATGTGTGTGTGTGTGTGTGTGTGGGGTGCACTGAGGTGTACACATGTGTGTGGGGGATCGGAGTGTACTGAGCTGTACACATATATGTATGTGTGTGTGTGTGGGGTGCACTGAGGTGTACACATGTATGTATGTGTGTGTGTGTGTGGGTGTGTCTGTATTTGTTGATGCTCTGAGGTGTATGAATGTGTGTGTGGCTGCACTGATGTGTAAAAATGTGTGTGTGTTGATGCTCTACGGTGTAGAAGTGTGCTTGTGTGTGTACCGAAATGTATTACGACTCCACTGCCCAGTGTAAGACTTTGTCATATGTCACTTTTATCTTAGTAGTGTATGGCAGAGTCATATATTGAAAAGTTGAAATATGTGTATGGATACTCTGTGATGTGTGTATGGATACTCTGAGATGTGTGTGTGGATACTCTGAGATGTGTGTATGGATACTCTGAGATGTGTGTATGGATACTCTGAGATGTGTGTATGGATACTCTGAGATGTGTGTATGGATACTCTGAAACATTCACAAGGAGTGCCTTACTGAGTCCATATCCTTTGGAATGACTTCCTATAAAATACTCAGCTAGTGTGAAGATGTTCTGTGATCTTTGACACTGAAATTGCGGAAAACAAAGTTTATCTTTTCATGCTTTTCGGATGGCTATATCTGAAGTATCTTGCAATATCCAATCCAGCTGCATTATCTGTTGACCAATTTGTTGCTTTAGTTATATTATGTGGGGTTTTTTAACCTGAGTGCAGGGTAGACTAAATTGTTAAAGGTTCTTTCTTTGTACCTGGGCAAACTGAGTTTTCCTGGTTATGTCCTCATATCGCTGGTGTCGCGAACAATCCACTTAAGTCTGTTCGGGTACTTTTTACACCTAGACAAAAAAACACTAGTTTTTATTGTGTTGTTTCTATCAGAAATCAGGAAAGGCAAGAAGATTGTAAGCCTTGACCACAGCTCATTAAATTGCATTTTGGTGATGTTGAAAAGTGCATCTTCGATAGAGTTTTGGGAGGGTATAAAGATGGAAAATTCTCAAAATTTGAACTTCCGTGGATTGCTTATGACAGCGGCAACTTGTGCTCAGCCGATGAAGTATTTGTTGAGCCGTCTGTTCCAGTAAGCCTATGTATTTTTTATGTATGGCTTTTTATTGTGTTATTTTTATCTACCTTACATATTGATGTTGCACAGCTTATACGACCTATTTTTTGTTGCAAGTGTCGTAACAATTTTTACTGAAACTAAGAAGAAATATGTACACAGCTGATGTGAAAGAGGACGTGGAGATGATATTTTGTTTGTGATATCCAGCCTTGTTCTGTCGCAACGCAAATATTGTTCTTTACTGAAATCATTCCTCACAATTATTCGCCCTGATTCTGACGCTCCGGTAGCTCATTTGGTATCATGCTGGACTATAAGCAGATGACTCAGTCAGGTTCGAAACCAAGCTTGGGGTAAGCTCAGATCAATTTATTAAGTTTTCGATACTTTCAGCCCATTTTGTTTGGTCTTGTTGTGGAGACAAACGTTAAATTTGGAGGTTCTGCCTCTTAAATGATTTTAATAGTGCTGATAGGGGCGTTACTCCCTTTTAAGTTTATTTCCTCCAATGTGATTTGTTTGATCTGATAAAGCTGCACACAGCTGTTAACGACAATCGTCATCTTTATCACAGCTCCTCCTTTTTCTTATTGTTATTGTTACTTTTGTTGCTGTCAGCAGTATTATTGTTATGTATTGAATTTTTTACTTAATTTAAATATTTTTGAAGTGTTTGTTGCTAAGTCACAGGGAGATTGATTTATTAAATGTGAGGCAGCGTGGTGGAATCAGGCTCTCGTCAAAATAATCAAAGTGAAGAAACTTGCATTTTTCTGCCGGTTTGTGAATTTTTGTCAAATTTGTCTTTTTTGGCTCAACACCTTTCATGCCCATTAAAGAACTCATTTCAGTGGGAATATTTCTGAAAAACGTTGATTAAAGGCACCAAAAATGTAAATTTTCAGTTACCACGGACTCATAAGCTAAGGAAATAACAAATCTTTGGCGGACATTTTCTGACTAATTTTACCTCTGAAAACAGGTGACCCCCACCTATCTCGACTTGAATTCAAGATAAATGGACATTTTTTTCACCCAAATATAGACAAGTGAACAAGCTTTAAGATAATACCAATAACTCGACATGCCCAAAAATTGACGAGAGCCTGATTCCACCACACTGCCTCACACATGTTCAGAACCTGTGAGGTATTTAAGTGTTAATCTTGTGTAAACTTTTCTGCACCGTGTATGTTTGTATACAGATACATACACACGCTACTTATCTTAGCACAATGTTATATTTGTACATGTGTATACATTCTTAGTAATCTTAGCTTTTTTACAGCTGTCTTTGGACCTACAATTCTACACCAGGCAATGTATCTTAATATTTTTAGCTCTGTCACACACACTGTCAGTTTGGTATAGAGCCAGTTATATCTTGACTTTTTTTTGCACAAAATTTGTAAATCTTACGGTGCAATGCCCATAGCTGATTGTTAAGGTTTTTAAGATTAAATTCTGTTTGAGAGTTTTTCATTAAATTTTAAAAGTTGCAATTAGTTTTGTGTTTAAAATGGTATTGTATACCTTACAATTGGGACCGGTTTATGCATTTATTTTTTGTGCACTCTAATATTAAATGTAAGAGTAACTTGAAAGCCAGTATTATAAATATATGTACATGTATGTATATACAAGTGAATGAATCATCATAACCAAATGTTAGAGTTTGTTTGTTTGATGTGAATCATAAGCAGACCTCAGAGCTTTGACTGAGGTGTAACATTAAGCAGATCTTTTAGAAATAATTATGGCGTGACGTGGTGGAATCAGGCTCTCGTCAATTTTTGGACATGTGGAGTTATTAGTATCATCTTAAAGCTTGTTTGTTGGTCTTACTTTTGCTAAAAGAAATACCTATCTATCGCAAATACAAGTCGACATATTTGCAATTGAAGTTGGTGGGGCCAGCTGGTATCAGAAATAAAATTAGCGAGAAAATGGGCGACAAAGTTGATGACTTCCAAAGCTTTAAAAGCCTTGCAAACTGAACATTTACATTTTTTTGCCTTTATTCAATGTTTTCCAGAAAGATCAACATTAAAATGTGTTTTTAAATGGACATAAAAGGTGTTGGGCCAAAAAAAAAGGAAAATTTGAATTAATTTGCCAAACAGACGAAAAAATATCGTTTTCTCTGATTTCATAATTTTGACGAGCGCCTGATTCCACCGCGTTGTGTCACAATTAATTTCTCGTGTGGGGTATATTCGTAAGCAGAGACTCGGATGTGTTTTTAAGACAACAATGTCTGAAATAAGTTGCAATACTGTGTCCGTGATTTTGTCTCTTCATCGCAATGTGATATATATATATATATATATATATATATATATATATATATGAATGACAACTTTAATTTATGTGTAAATCAAATAAAATGAGTGGGTGATTGGTTGGTGCAATGATGTGGTTTGCTCCTTTTTCTTTCCAATCAAACTTTTTATCATCTTATCGCTCCTCCTTTTTTTTATGTCTTTGTTACTCTCTTGTAACACTTCTAATCTTGGGCATAATTATATAATAATTGATCTAATTGTGTTGTAAGTGCTGTGAAACTTTTACAAAAACTAAAACTACAATCAAATGTATAACTGTATTTTTTTAAAGGATCGCTCAATGACAATCATTTGCTTGATTCTGTGTGTGTGTGTGTGTGTGTGTGTGTGTGTGTGTGTGTGTTTTGCATGTGTGAGTGACCGTTTTGTTCATGTGCTTGTCTGTTTAAATTAATAAATTATGTAAATGCACACAATAATATACTGTCATTCCCTCTATGCACCGATATTGTTTTGTGTGAAATGAAATAGACAATAAAATGGTAGCTTATTATTACTCATGTGATACGTGTGTGTTTTCTATTTTTTGCTTATGGGTTGTTGGCGGGTGCTCTGGGGTGGTTTGTTTCTTCTTTCGTATCAAACATCTATTGTCTTTATCTCCCCTTTTTCTTTTTTGTGTTTGTTACTCTCCTTGAATCTTCAGCTTTTATATGACCTTATTGTGCTGCAAATGCCATAAAACACTTACTAAAACTTAATTTTTTGCTCTTGAAGATACTGAAAACCTGACAGTAGAATTGTAAATGGACTGACTCATCAAGGTCATACTCAAACTGTGCAGGAACAACATAGGTAGGGGAACTGCTGCTTTTTCTTAAATTCCTCATCCTTACTATCGTCATTTTTCATCTACTTCTTTTGTATGTTTGTCACTCTCTTGTGAACTGCTATTCCGGGGTGCCTTGATAATCGAAGCGGATTTTTTTGCTTTTGAGGCTAGAGAGATGAGCAGAGTAAGCCTGATTCCCTGTTTGGATTTCTCTGTTGACATCCACCCTTCGGCGCCCATATGACCGTATGCAGTTGTGAGCGCCGTAAAACCTTCACTAAAACAAATGAAGACCTGACCATTTTGGGTGGAACATTCTGTGACCTCATTGTATTGCAAGTGCCGTAAAACACATAGGCCTACTAAAACAAAAATATCTCCCCTCCTTCTCTTTTCTGTTTGTTACTCTCTTGTAACTTTTCTCATCTTTAGCGCTTATATGACCTCAATATGTTGCAAGTGCTATAAAACTTTTACTAGAATAAACAGCAACAACAATAACAACAAAAACGACAACAGCAAAACAATGACAATATCAATAATAAGAACAAAATGTATGTCACGTGGTGTAAACAGAACCTTTATTTCAAATCAATCTGGTGTATCTCATAATTTGCAACAAATGACATGTAACAAAAACAGAATTGACTTAAGTAAGTAACAGTAACATGAACTTTAGACGTGAAATGTGCTGACAAAATGAAGAACTTCTCGCAATCCAGAAATGGAGATATCTGCGCATGGAAAATGGAGCATGGATGTCAAAATTGTAGGTTTTCAACCGATGCCATTTTCTTACAGTTTAACATAGGGCCTAATATTCTTTTATTATTTCACTCTGATCAGTTGTACAAAACTCAACATATAAATAATGTGATGTGTTCATGGGGTTTAGATCAGAGAAGCA